GCCACTTTCGAAGGCTGCTGGGGGTTCCAGCGGGATGTCGTGCTACGCAAACTCAGACTAGACCTCGCCATCCCTGCGGGGCAGCGACCTGCAAACCTGTCGCCACTTTCGACGGCTTCTGGAGGGTCCAGCGGAGTGACGTGCTACGCGGACTCAGACTAGACCTCGCCATCCCTGTGGGGCTGCGATCTGCGAAGCGGTCGCGACTTTCGACGGCGTGTGGGGGTCCAGCGGAATGACGTGCCACGCAAACCCAGATTCGACCTCGCTATCCTTGCGGGGCTGCGATCTGCAAAACTGCTGCCGCTTTCAAGGCCCTCTGGGGGGCCAGCGGGGCGAGGCACCACCCAGACTCAGATTAGACCTCGCCATCCTGGGGGGGCTGCGATCTGCAAAACTGTCGCCACTGTCGAACGCTGCTGGGGAGCTCACCTGGATGAGGCACCACCCAGACTCAGATTAGACCTCGCCGCCCCTGGGGGGCTGCGGCCTGCGAAACTGTCGCCGCTTTCGCGAGGCTGATCGGGAATCCCGCGGGGCGCTGTCGCGGGCCGCCCGCAGACCGGGCGGCGCGCCTTCGAGCGTTTGGCTCCCGCACTGAAAATTGCAGAGTGCAGGAAGGAAGCAGTGAAGTTGGCGGGCGAGCTAAGCCTCGTTCGCTTCATGCACTAACTATAATGCGGTTGAATCCGCTTGTCGAGCGCCGTGGAGACATGGCGCAGGCAGCGGTGCATCTTTAGCGTACTACCGACACAAGCAACACTCGTCGGTCTCCTCCAATCACTTTCGTCGTCGTCGTCTGCCCCCTGCCACCTTCCCTCTGCTGCTGCCGCGCTGGCGGTTCGGCCCCCCGCGCGTCTTTCTCCTGCCCTTCGTTCCCGCCCCCATGTCCTCCTCAGGCCCGGGCCTTCGCTCCTCGTCCTTTTGTTGTTGTCCTGTGAATTGCGCCACGTGAGCGCACCCCATGCAGTTCGCAAACCACGGCGCCTGTCCTGTCCTTGTCCTTGCAAGGTTGGGCCAACTCCTCTTGTCACTTGATGCAAATGGGTTGGGTACGTCGCAGGGTGGGTGATCTTCGACGCCCTACTTTTGAGCTCGTGGAGGGCCCAAGGCGGCCAACCATTGGCAAACACCTCGGGACGGGGGGTGACCCCAATGGGGGGTGAAGAAAAAGGCCCTGTCGGGCCCGTTAGGTCCCCTCTTGGGCACCAGCCGGCTCCAACAGGGGCCCCACAGGGCCACCTCGGGGACCCTCTCTCCACCCCCCCATTCGGGCCACCCCCCATTACCACCCGCCCAGGACTCCTTTCCTTCCTTGCGACTCCCGGGGCACCGGCATCCGCCAGTCTGAGATGTGCAGTCTGCCGCCGCAGATACCAGAAAGACAACTATCAGGCTGGGGGGTGGAGATCTGGGAGGATGCGGCCAACGACTGTGTAACGCGCACGCTCGACACAAGCGATGGTACGGATGATATGATCCTCCCTCCCAGCCCCATCCTCCCAACCCGATAGTTGTCTTTCTGAAAAGGTCCCGGCGCCTTCCCTAGGGGTACACGTCGATCGGAAGAAGTAAGTACTAGCATGAAGTAGGACGGCGGATCAAGTAGGTTGGGGTCAGGCCATCCCAGAGAATCACATCACACAGCAAAAGCATAGATCGGTTCTTGAAGCAGGAAGGCGCTTGTAGTAGATTGGGATCTGGCAATCCAAGATCTCCTCGAGTGTACACGAGCCCCCTGGTGGCTTTCGGGCCATACTCGCAGTTCTCCCGCGGCCCTTCGGGGCGATCTGGGCACCCCTGGAACGCTCTCGGTGAGGCGCAGCTGCTGGAACGCACCCCCGAGGCCGGACAAAAACCCGCCGAGAACGAACGCGGATGCCCGAACGCCCTAGAACTCCAGCCCCCGCCTCGAGCGAATCCACCCCTCGAGCCTCGCCTAGGAACCCGTTCCTGGTGCTCCAGGGGCCTGGTGACGGCCCCGGGGGGGCTGGTGGAGAGGCATATTAAGGAACCTAACTTTCTACACCGATGCTCTTCTGTGGTCCCGCACTGAGATTCGCACAAGAAAACGGATTCTGGTGTATACGGGCATCCTGGTGTATACATGTTTTGCTGCTTCCACGGGAGAACGGGGGGAAAACGTGTGCACCACACCACCCCGACGTCGTCCCCGACCCCCAAAAAAGTCCTGGGATTGAGAAACCGCCCGCCACTGGTAATGTCCGCCGATCCGGCGTGTGAGTTTCTGAGAGCGTGGACTTGAGCTCGCTCAAGCTTCGCTCTGCAGGGGGGGGGGGCACGTTATTTCCGACGTCATTTCCGATGTTTTTCGGTACACGGGGATATGTCCGACGTCGTTTCCTACGTTTTTCGGGGGTGTAGAACACTCCACTTCCGGAGCCCCCCCGGATCGGAGGCACTGGCCGGAGGCCAGCCCAATATATGTTCCAGTTCCCGACATACGCCGCCGGAGATCGCCTGGCTCTCGGGCAATAGGCCTCGGGCCTCCTGCGGGTCGCCCCGGGCGGGCGCGCCCCCCCCGGCGAGCGCGCCCGCAGGGGCGCGCGGCCGTAGGCTGCGACCTCGGGCGACCTCGTCTGTCCCGACGCGGCCCTGGCCGCGTCGAAGCCGTGTCGAATCCGTGTGGAGGGCTCGTCGGCTCCGTGTCGAATCCAAGTCGAGGCCGCGTCGACTCGACGCCAAAGCCGCGCCGAGCCCGACCGAGCCCGCGTCGGGCACCAGAGAAGACACCCATGTGGGGGACAGGCGAGGGTCCAGGAAGATGCAGCGTAACGCAGCCGCTGGAGCGGACCCCAAGGCTGGAGAACCGCCGAAGGCCGACAAACACGACCGAAAAACTAGAGCCTCGAACCCGAGACTCCGACTCCGAATGTCATCTTAGAAAAGATGGCGTCTGATTTGGCGGGGGGAGCCTGGCTTGAGCCGCCTATGAGGGTTCCAGGGTGGTCTGGGCAACAGGCCGCTGGTCTGGGCGGGTGTCCCAAAAGCCAGCTCGTCTGGGAGGGTTCCCCTTTCTTGCAACATCTGGAGCAGGCTTCCCCCCTCGGCTCACCGCGGCCTCACTGCGATCCCAGACCCCCAACGTCGCGAAATGTTTCGTAACGTCGCCCGCCAGAGGTGTCCGACCCCTTTCTCCAGGACTGGTTCTTCATCCTGCGTCGTTTTGTTGACGGTCCCGTGGCCCGGTGAGGGGCCCGTGGAGGCCGAGAATTGCAACACTAACAAACAAAAACTCCCATCGTGATTGTTTCACAGCGCCAGAGGGCCTGGGATCCTCAGGAGGGACGGGCCTTCAGCGCCAGCAGCTGGCCCGTGCCACCGCACCGCACGAGCGCCACGGAGCCGAAGCTGCCGCGCCCGAGCAGCCCGACGCCCTCCAGGAGCTCCAGGCTGTAGCGCGCCCGCGGCTGCGCCTGCGGCGGAGATGCGAATAATAATAATAATGGCACTAAACGTAACCATAATGACGAGAAAGCCATACGAATAACAAGAACAGTCATGCTAATACGAATGGGAAAATCATACTCTGAAAACTACTACTACTACTACTACTACTACTACTACTACTACTACTACTACTACTACTACTACGACTACTACTACTACTACTACTACTACTACTACTACTACTACTACGACTACTACTACTACTACTACTACTACTACTACTAACTACTACTAACGACGACTACTACTACTACTACTACTACTACTACTACACTACGACTACCATTACTACTACTACTACTACTACTACTACTACTACTACTAACGACGACGACGACCGACGACGACGCGACACGACTACTACTACTACTACTGCTACTGCTACTACTACTTTACTTCTACTTCTATACTACTACTACTACTACTACTCACTACTACACTACGACTACTACAACTCCTACTAGTACTAACTACTACTACTACTCTACTACTACTACTACTACTACTACTACTACTACTACGACTACGACTACGACTACGACTACGACTACTGTTCTACTACGTCTACTACGACTACTACTACTACTACGACTACACTACTACTACTACGACTACTACTACGACTACGACTACTACTACTACTACACTGACTACGACTACTACTACGACTACTACTACTACTACTACTACTACTACTACTACTACTACTACTACTACTACTTATACTACACTACGACCTTCTACTACTACTACTAACTACTACTCTACTAAACTACTACTACTTCTGCTGTCTGCTACTACTACTACTACTACTACTTCTTCTACTACTACTACTACTACTACTACTACTACTACTACTACTACGACTACTACTACTACTACTGCAGCTACTACTACTACTACTACTACTACTACTACTACTACTACTACTACTACTACTACTACTACTACTAGTACTATACTACTACTACTACTAGTACTTTACTACTACTACTACTACTACTACTACTACTACTACTACTACTACTACGACTACTACTACGACTACTACTACTACTACTACTACTACTACTACTACTACTACTACTACTACTGCTACTACTACTACGACGACGACGACGACGACGACGCCTGATAATAATACTACTAATACGAGTACTACAAATAATACGGTTGCGAATGGAAAGTGAACGTTTGATAATTCGACTATCAATAGTGACTTAGTAAGAACAGCAACACTGATAGTAGTAATTATTCACTGCGTGGAACTCCCCATACGTGCATCTACTCGCATGGACCTGTCCGCCGTGAATGTCTAGGCGCAAGAGCTTTCGAATATTAACGGGCTTCAGTTGTGACGGTCTGGACATCAATCTAACTGCGAATGAATTGGAGTGTGAATGAGCCTCAGTAGTACGAGCGCGTCTCTGTGCGTGAGCCTGGGGCCTCCTGGGGCCTCTGAAACCTACTGGGGCTTCCTGGGGTCTCCAGGAGCCTCTTGGGACGTCCTGGGACCTCCTAGGGAGGTT